TCCATTCGTGGTCACATGATCGACATCTCAAGATGAACCGGAGGTCGGTAACTAACGAGTTCCGACGTCATCCAGCATGACAATACGCGGAACACAAAAGTCGTCCGTTAATATAATGAAGTTTTTCTTACCAAGGTTTTACCAATGTCTTCATAAAATACTTACCAAGTATCTCCGGATCATATCAGTTGGAACATAGTAACCCATCGTCACCTCAGTCTAGTGTAGAAACAAGAGTCTAGTGTAGTTGGCATATTTAAGTATTAGAGGATATGAAGTGCAGGAGAAACGGATCAAAGTATCGACGGTGTCCACCATTGATTAGATCAAAGTATCGATGATGTCTGCCATTGGTCGGATCAAAGCCGTGGCTTGAGCCTGGGCTCAGGCTTTGCCGGAATGCAAGCCGGGCTTTCAGCCGTCTAGTGGGTCGGCTTGGGCGGGCTCAACAGGGCCCGGCTTTGACGGCTTGGGGGCTTCGGGCCGGGCCTGGCACATCACTAGATGTAACAGTTCTCATGTTTTGATAATCTAATGTCAAATATAATTGTATTTTGATAATTTACAATATAAAATTCATAAAGTATCTGCTTAATTTGCAAAAAGAAACATGTCGCGGCACTTGCGCGGCATTTTCCTATAGCCCGGATGGGGGCTGGAACGGCATGACCTGGGTATTGCTGAAGTCAAGCTTGGGCCTGCAATTGTTGATGATAGTCATTGCCGCTGGGATGCATCAAGGTATGGTATAGGTCCTGTTGATGCATTGGGGGAAAGATGGTGGTTGGAGACGTTGAGCTCAAGCTCGAAATCGGAGTCGGGGAGACAGAGTCGGATTGAGTTTGACTCTGAGGATATAGTAAGGTTCTTCCTTGTGCCCATCCGCGTCCAGTTCCGGTACGTGCTCAGGGCGAAAATCGACGGCACTAGATGATGCATCCCCAAGGTGTCACATTGCCGAAAGCGTTGAGATGTCCAGAAAATCCCCTTTCCCATGTCGAAGAACTTCAAAAGAGGCGGTCCAACTTTTTATCGCCGAGTTGTGTTTACATATTAGAAACATTGTACGCTAAATGTTCTTGTCGACTATCACATTACTCAAGCAAGTTTCGATATTCTGCACTTGCGGTCAATCGCTCCAATCTGTCACCAAGCTTCTCTTCATGGTAAAATAGAACAGATTCTGCTAGTGGTCTAGGTGTTTTCGTTTTTTTCCATCTGATGTGTATATTTCTGCAGAGAAACCATTCTCCTCAGAGGAATCATTCTCTTCAGAGGAATCATTCTCTTCAGAGGAATCATTCTCTTCAGAGGAATCATTCTCCTCAGAGGAATCAGCGAATGGTCCTGCCATTACACGCTCATCAAGCTCATCAGTCTGCAACTCACTCTCCATTCCCAAGTCTGGTTTCGACGACTCCCCCCTTCTAAAGGACTCTGTCGTCCAGCCCGACTTCATCCAGCCCGACTTCAAATGCAGAACAGCGTCGAGGTGATGCTCATTCTGTCTCTGATGTTCCTCCAGCAGAGGGTCAGAGCCAAGAAGACCTTTGTAAATATGGCCTTTGTTGCGTGGGATGACTCTGTAAACGCTCTCCGAACAGCCCGTTACCCAAAAAGAATAGCGAGGGTGTGTTACACTCTTAGCCTTCTTTGCCTGGCGAGGAAGTGGTTTTCGCTCATTATTCTCTTTTACAGCAATCTTAGACGTTCCCTGTACCGGGGCTGAATAGCCTATCGATTTTCGCTTAGCGAATGGGTGCGGTTTCAGGCCAAACTCCATGATGATTGTAATATACGGTCGAGAATTTTGCTCTGGGTTTCCGGGTGTGAAGTAGTCTATTGTCTCGGCAATTATATTCGCAGCTTGGACCTTGTCGCGATTCTTGAGCTGTATCAAGATAGCAGACATGGTAAAACGACTCATGGTCAGTCTGCGATCGTATAAAACAGGGATAAAGAAGTCGATGTCGTCTTCATAATCATGGCACTGAAGAGCCATACCACGACAAATGGCCATCCATGCTCCTTCATCATCAATCATGCTTGAGTCGTCCGCTTTTCCCCAGTGTGTAAAGTATACCACTGCATTTTGGAACGCTTCTTTCAGGGTTGCACCATGCGTATTATCCGGCGTGGTCTCACAAATCATCTTCTCATAACGTTCAGGGAATAGCGAGGCAAGGAAATCGATGACCGGAATAGCGGTGCTGAAGTGGATAGGCATTATTCTATCTCTTACGGACTTTTGAATAACGGCGGCATCAAACGCCTGTATCAGTAGTAGTCGTCCAACGAGCTTACCCTGTGCTTCGCGGGTAATTAAGCGATCCGACAAGTACTTTGAGAGAAGTTTTGCCGTGTCGAAATCGTCCGACGCCATGATCTGAGCAGCAGCCTCAGACAGGATCGGTTCCGATGGAGCACCCGCCGCCAAATACTCCCGGTGAGCCGGAATAGAGTATACCACATGCATATGCCCAGCTACCAATTCTTTCGCCATCCAGATTGCTGGTGCGTGTTTCGGTTCGAAGTCTACCAGTAAACGCCTGGCTAAGACAGCAATGTCTGCTTGGACGGAAAGATAAGAAGTCTTGTCGCTGCAAATGAGCTTAGATTGCGCGAAGTTGATGATGTAGTTTCGGACCATACGGTCCCCTGCTTCCCAGCGTGTCCAGAATCTGTTATTCATTAGCCAGCAATACAAACGACGTATAGCCAATTGGAACGTACAACGGCCGTCCAAACCGAACCATAAATTCGGGTCGACAGACATCTTCGATCATATGCGTCTCCTCGACCGCGATGTACTGTGTCTTCCAAAGATCGAATGGGAGCTCGACGACAGGCGGCTGTAAATGAGTGCAATCTGCCCAGTAGGAAGGTGGAGGAGTGGCGATATCAAAGCTAGTAGATAGAAAGAGAGCTACGAGTTTCACATTATCGTTAGGCTTTTTTCCACTGCGCAAATTATTGAGGGCCCAGCAAAGAGATTCATACGCAGTAACGGTGTCGTTGCTTGCTGTTCTATCTGGGGTCTTCTTTGTCGTCAGCCCATGACTCTCGTCAAAATAAAGTACCACGTCCACTTCCGCTGGATGGTTGGGAGGAGTTATGGTTGGAGTGTTCCCTGCCCTCCTAACTTCGACGATCAACTTCTGGGCCGCATCCAGTGCCTTTTGGGCAGCCTCCTTCAAGTATTGATCCATCCCAATCGTCTCTGTTCGTCCATAGGTAATATGTCAAAGTTGATGGGGATGAGAAGTTAAAATGGACTAACCCCTGTTACGAAATGAGGAGTCTTGTTCCATTGTCTAAATAGGGGCCCGAGAAAAGCTTTCACATCAAGGGAAAAAAAAAAGTCTCACAATCTCGCATATGCGAACGACCTCGGTATATATCTCCCTACGTTTGCCTTGCATATTCAAGTGTTCACGCCATTTTGAAGCGAACGTTGTTCTATCTTTGTGAATTGGCCATTCGCGGATTATCTCATAAATGTGTGTGAATAAGGCCTTCAAAAACAAAAGGTGGCGACGTTTGAGGTAATTTAGCGTGTCCACCATTATGTGTATGAATAGATAATCGCGAATCTGGTAATCAGCGGAAGGATAACCTGGAAAAAAGAGAGATAGGTCTATGAAAAGATGTAACACGGAGAGGCGAACCTGAGGTATCAGACTCAGATCTCAAATTGAATGGCAATGTGAAAACCATGGTCGCAAGTTGATCAACCATGCGAGATTTTCCTGTTCCCGAACTCTGTACTATGGGTACAAGATTAGAATGTGAATGGCTCGAGTCGGCGACGATATCGTCCAATGCGTGTTTCAATAGGACATGGTGTTGACCACGGTAAGGCTCATTCCATGCACGTTTAGTCGCTGAAATGATCGAATTAGGCCTTCCAAACGGTGGAAGGAAAGCTACAAAAGTTACTGACCATCCACTTGGGCGACAGATAGAGTCAGAATATGCACCAGTTATGGAAATAATAACTTACTTTGGTCGCTCGAAGAACCCCACATTGGACTCCAGAGTGTTGTTAGGGCGCCGGATGTAATGCACTCGGCTCAGATATATCGATGGCGGAGTTCAAAGTCTGAACGGACAGACGAAGCGTGTCATATCTCAGGAACGTGGCACGATTAAGACAAAGTACTCTCTGGGATATATGCATTATATAGTGTATCCATATATATGACTTTATAACGTGTTCCTTGATATTCGAATAAATATCACTGCAGTAGCCCCCTCGTATCAGGAACACCATTCAGTTTCCTAATATATATTACTCTCTACTAGACGCTAATCTCTTTTAGTATAATTACCGTAGCTAGATTGATGTATGCACGAGGCTCACTTCGTAGAATACTTGTCAATTGCAGCTCTTGTCTTTTGTCAGTGAACAGTGTCCGCCGGAGTCTGGTATAGAGATAAAGGGGCAGAGAACTATGTTGTTGGAACCATTGTAACTAATCTATATTAAGCGACTGTGTGTGTGTATTAGCATAGGTAAATTATGGACTGCTATTTATGCCTTAGTTGGACGAAATTTTTTTTCCCGAATTATATGTAGTCGACGAGGCACTTTGAACCCTTTGGAGGGTGTTTTTAGGTGTTTAGAAATGGATGACATCCATGACGTAAACATATTACCTAATAGTCAGCTCCCGAAACGCGGTGTGCGTAGGCTGCACGGACGATAAGAACTGAATTATAAAAATGAGACACAGTGATGAATTTGGAGCAGTGGGGCATCATTGAGGCTTGCAGGCATATTTTATGGCCCAAGCTGTCGAATGATAACGATACTTAGATGCCCCCCCCAATAGTACTCAACGCTCATAGTCATACTTCAGATACAAGTCGCAAAGATATCCTCGCAATGTAATGACTTCTTCGAATCAAAATCATATTTCGTGAAAAAGGTGACAATCAGCTGTTTGCCCGGGGGATTCACAAGCTGTAGTTGCACTGGCTACCAAAAACAATAAACAAGGTCTCACCCGGAATCGAACCGGGGTCACGAGAAGACTCGGATGAATTTTTTACAAATTCAAACTCAGAATCTCGGGGGATAACCGCTACCCCATGAAACCGCTGGTACGCATTTGTTCTAGACGTCATATAAAGTGTTTATATTTGGCGTCTTAACTATTTCGATCCTACAGCAGTCCCACGTGACTGTTAGGTAGCTTTTAAGCTTTTTGGGTTCTAAATAGGGGTGCCTCGTCGCCACTGACAGCGACGAGAGGGTTTTGCCCAATCCTCCGCTGCCAGCCAAACCTATAACTCGCTTGTTGCTATCGAATTACCCGATATTAAAACCTGTGTACACCAGCAGGAGGCCTCGTTGCAAGCTTCCTTTTAATACCTTCAGTTAGCCTTTTCATATAATTCTTGGAAACCGAACCGTGCCTGGACACTCAAGTCGTCTTGCAAATGGCTGCAACGACAGCGACCACGACCGATTTGCAGCGGAGAGTCTCTTTGAAAGCGTCGAGCGTTAGTTCGTCAGCAGCGCCGATCTCGCAGCCCACACAGCCCACAGAATGGGGGAGTAACTTTTGGGTGACACTGATCGACCCTCAGGTATGTCTTTGACGCTTTGTCACAGTTCTGTCTGCGGTCGCTGATCTAAATGATGTCCCTTATTGAACGTTCGGGCACAGACTGGTACCCAGTTCTATGCTTGTCCTTCAACGGGGGAGACAACTTGGGATGCACCAGCGGGCAATTTTGTGTTAGTATGATTAGGCTTCTGTTGTTTTTTTTTCCCTTCAATGCTGATCTAATTGCAATTGTTTAGATTACCCCCTTCTTCGGATGGCGAATGGTGGGAGCTCCGAGACGAAACGCGAGGCGGTATACCCTATTATTATCACACTAAAAACGGGGAGACGACCTGGGACAAACCTGAGGGATTTGTTATACCTCTAGGGGTCATACAGGTACGCAATGTTCATCTTTAGGCGGGTGGGCCTTCCCTGCGGTTGTAAGGACCCAACTCGCACTGAAAAGATGTCTAGAAAGACGTCCAAGCGAGCTAAAGTATTAACGATACTCTTTTTAGAATACAACTCTAGGCCGAAAACTGTCTCAATCTACCCGTCGCCATTCTCAACTATTCCCAGCCCAATCCCAATCTTCTCCCAGCAAGCGTCATGTTTCTCGCAACCCCCCATCCGTTATCAGTGAGCATACTGAAGTCGCAAGCGCCAATGAAAAGAGCGATCGGGAAAGGGTCTCCCGAGCTGTAGGCAAAGAACGCGACCATACCCCTACAAAAGACCGCGAACGCGAGTATGAAAGGGAACACACGCCTATAAAGGAGAATGATCGCATATCTGCTAAGGAACACACACCGGCCAAGAATCGCACATCTGCCAAAGAACGTACACCCCCAAAGTCACACGCTTCAGCTACGCCTCAAGCCCGTGAACGTACCCTCTCCTCGCCAGCATCCGCCTCGTCCTCCCGCAACCGCTCCAAAACCCCCGCACGAGCCGAACAAAGTCTCACTGCGGCCGTAGAATACATATCTGGTTCGGGAGGATCGAACGTCGGTGTTGTGAGTGCGCCGGAAGTCAGAGAACGAGAACGGGAGAGAACGCAGAGTACGAGAGTGAATAGCAGTACCCACGCGACACCGAACGGCAGTACAACCCACGTCCCTCACACTACATTTGCGCCACTTGCCTCTTCATCTCCACGTCGGCCGATCACCACCCTTCCAGCTCTGTCATTGTCGACTCCCGCTGTGCCAATTGTAACATCTACTCAGTCGCCAACACAGCGTGTTTATCCACCGAGTGCCTTCTCAGGTCAAGCACAACGCTCCGCTTCTGCTTCTACGCCCCCGATGGTCGTGGCAGTAGACCGTGAGAGGGCAAGGCCAAGGAGGCATACCAATTTAAATGGGGGAACCATCAGTATTGGAGCGCCGGTGTTAGATATGGGTGGGCAGTTTATCTTTGACATTCAACTGTCATTCCTACAGCTGTATTCTAATTATATCTTATACCAGCCGCCACGCAAGCCATGTCACCAATTAAGCGCGGTGGACAGCCGATCCATGTCACCACGAAACGGCTAAGTACCGGGTGCGTCAAACCCTCAATCTAACATATTGCCTTCATCTGAACTGAACCCACTCGCCCATCCAGCGACCACCCCACTCTCCCGCGCGACCTCGTCATCGACATTCAACAATTCGCCCAGTCCGACTTCGCAAGGCGCTACTTCTCAACCCACAAAGAAGGTGTACTATGGCGGAGGCGCGTCCCAGTGGAAAAAATGATGATGTGGCAAAAGGTACGTCCCCATCTTCACCATATATTGCTTCTTAACCTCTTACTCGGTATATCTCCCCTCTGCAGGCATCCCTCACTACACCTCTGTTACTAACCCCGAAGCCCCTTCATGCACCCGCTCTTCGGGCCTTCAAAACGATCCAACGAATCATGGGCGACCGTGATCGTGACCGACCTACCCCGTCTACGCCTTCTCTCCGCCACACCGATTCGGCGTCATCCCTACAGTTCCACCAGAGCGCTAATGCGCTATTGGAGGAGGAGAGGTCGTTGTTGGGAGAAGGGCTGGACAAAGGCGAGGGGTTGAGGGATGAGATATATTGTCAAGTTGTGAAGCAGTTGAGTGGGAATGGGAGTACGTGAGTGCTGGTTCTTGTTCTTTTTATCATATTGGAATGGTTGGGTTGAACGGTACAATCCTTGAATTATGACTGATAGGGAAAGTACCTTCCGTGGCTGGCAGCTCCTATGCGTCCTCCTCGTCACCTTTCCCCCGTCGAAGAACTTTGAGCCGTACGTCCGTGCGTGGATGCAGGAGCGTACAACGCACACCGAAGGACGAATTGACGTAATGGCGCGGTATGGGCTCCATCGGCTCGAGACAATCTCAAAGAAGGGGCCGAGAGGGAAGGCTCCCAGTATCACCGAGATTGAGATAGCTAGTGTAAGTCCATTCACCTTCCACTATCCAACCGCACACACGCGCCTCACCTTTCATCGCTCCGCCAGGACGCCGCCTTCAATCCCTCGACTTTCGGGGAACCCCTCGACGCCATATATCGCCTCCAATCGCGCACCTACCCGACGCTCAAAATTCCCGTTATCCTCCCCTTCTTGGCAGACGGGATCCTCGCCCTCGGGGGCACGAAATCCGAAGGAATCTTCCGTGTTCCAGGGGACGCCGACGCCGTCTCCTCCCTGCGCCTCCGGATTGACAAAGGGATTTATACCCTCGACGGGGTGGACGACCCGCACGTCCCCGCGTCGCTCTTTAAACTTTGGCTGCGCGAACTGCGCTTCCCTCTGGTGCCACAAGAACTTTACAACGACTGTGTCTCTTGCGCGTCTGACCCTGGACTCGTGATAAGCATGGTGGGAAGGCTCCCGACGCTGAATCGGCGGGTGGTGTTGTTTGTGGTGAGCTTTTTGCAGCTGTTCTTAGAGGAGAAGGTGTGTGTGGTTACGAAGATGAGCGCGGAGAATTTGGCGCTGGTTATGGCGCCGAATGTGTTGAGGTGTGCAAGTGAGATGATGGGGGTTGTGTTTACGAATGCGCAGTGAGTGGCTCTCTTTCCCCCTCTTCATTTTGTGAGATACAGTACTAAGGAGTATTTGTGTTCGTTAAATGTAGGTATGAGCAACAGTTTGTGTTGAATCTGCTTTTGCACCTGCGTTGCGATCAGGTGGACCCTGACTATATCCCCGAACACGGCAAGGGTCCTGCGGCTGGGCGCAAGTCCTATCAAAAGTCGCGTAGGAAAACGTAACCCAAGTGGTGGATACCTGCTGCATCGTTTGTCCTATCTCTCTCTCTCTCTTTTTTTCTCTCCCTCTCCCTCCTTTTCATCTCCCCTCATTGGATTTTCATTCTTGCCCTTACTACATTCTTTTGATTAACTATTACCACTTCCTCTGTTGTCGTTCTTATCGCTTTGCTTTCATTCGGTCCATATCATCACGCCCAAGTTCAATTCTCAGATTACCCTCCTTCGTCGTCCGCGCTTCTTGCCGGCCTCCCACTCTTTGTAACTCATTGTATTACCTTTGCACAGCTGAGGTTGCGTGGCGTCGATAATACCTACACATTACTATATTCACCCGTAGATTTTTGATACCTATCCTGGACTACATTGTGTAGATATGATATATGTATACTAATTATTGCGTTCTTGTGATGCTTGCGTCTAAGTGGCTATGCTATTAGGATGACGTATTGACATGTACACATGCAATCGCGAGCGTGTCTCAAGCAGCCGCGCCACGCCTGGCACCGATTTCAATGTATCAGAGTTCTACGTTTCAAAAAGGACATCCGCGTATACACTTTTACTCTGAGAGAATACCTCCAACCAAAGTCAGCACAGATGTTAATCCATAGTGGGCAGGTGTGTATTCATAGAGTTAGTAGTCGCTTCACGATTGGATTAATGATGACGGATGGTTCAGATACGGTCTTTTGTGTAGATTGTGGACTGTTTGTCGGATTTTATCTTCGTTACACTGGAGGGGTCAAAATATTTTGTGCCAGCCTTGTGCTGAGCCAAAGCAGTTAGTTCCCCTAAAATGCCTGATGGGTCATTATTAGATTTTCAGGAGAGGGGAACGGTTAACAAGGTTTGGGTAACTACGGCGTACTTTGTGTGAGAGACAGCCAATTTGGAAGACCCAACACGAAGAGAGGAGACGTCGTGAGTCGAGTCAAAACCTGTCAAACTTAACCACGACAGCTCTAATAACTGGCTTGAGTCAAGTCCCGAATATAGCCTGAGTTGGATATAGGGTTAGTTAGTAGGTGTCATTAAAAACATACCAGCGAACGGCCACCAATAGCCGCCGATCTTGCATCCTAAAAAAGATTGGATTTCTGAAGTTCTATGGCCAAGTGCCAGCTCCTGTCCCTATGGGATCCAATGCGCCCTACCATTTCAACAACACAACCGTGCCAGCCGCTTTGCCGTCGCAGTTAGTGACCGAACCGGTAATCGAACCGAGATCAAGACATTTATCAACGATACTTTTGTTGCGAGTGTCCAGACTAATTATTTATGGTTCCAAGTCAGAGAAAA